CCGGACAGAGAAACCCTGGCTTGAGTTACCGAGTTGATAACCAGCGTCGTAGGACCGCTTAGCGAGAGCGCGTTTGTTTCGGGTTGGGATCATGGTTGGGATTCGTAGTACAGGCAGGCCTCTGCTCTCCTCGTGTCTCTCTGAGTCCTGTTTACAATTGCTTCAGAAGTTTCCCTCACAATTATGAATATTTTTACAGATATTGCAATGTATATTAGATTTACAAAAGGGAATGCAATAAGGGAAATAACTCATTTGCATAAATACTAATAACAAATATTTTAAAAATAATGCCATTTGTATTAAACAAAGATTGTTTTCTGAGATTCTTTAGAATACGATGTGTACACTGGCACATAGTTGAAGCATTATCATACTTTTGACACATATTTATCCTTTAGCATTTTAGATATTGAGATATGCCATATGGTCATTTTTCAGAAAATGTATTTTGCCTCATAAAACACTCATGTTTGTTATGGGTTGAGGTTGTCTAAAACAAATACGAATAGGAGACTCTTACGTAGACGCTTGGTTATCTACTGTTATCTGCATGTTTTCCTTTATAACAGATATCGTTATTAAAGTCGATTCATTAGGCTGTTACAAACACTGAACACTCCTATGAGTTTCCATTATCTACTGAAACACTTCATGAATATCTCCCATTTAGTTGCATCTGTACCAGAGGCTGCTGAGAGTCCCATGAAAATAACTACTTCTAATTGCTATGAGACCATTCCCACTTTGTGTGGTGTTTCTGCTCTTTTCCCACGCTTCTTTTGTTGTTACTTCTACAGATCTTTTTAGTCCATCTGGGGCCCGTGCAGTCAACATGTTGATGTGTCCTTGGGCAAGATACTTAACCCTGAGTTGCTCCTGATGGCCAATGGTGTGTGTGTGTGTGTGTGTGTGTGTGTGTGTGTGTGTGTGTGTGTGTGTGTGTGTGTGTGTGTGTGTGTGTGTGTGTGTGTGTGTGTGTGTGTGTGTGTGTGTGTGTGTGTGTGAGAATGTAAGCTTCCCTGGAGCAAGTGGTACTGCTCTGCATGAATGAGATGTGAAAGGGTGAATGACTCGTAGTATGTAAATGATGCTTTGAGGGGTCATAAGTAGCGCTATATATAAGTACGGTTTGGTTACCATCCATTCAGCAACACCAGTTACCATAAACCCTGTCATCTAAATCCACTTCCAGCTGTTTGGTAAGACAGATAAGTTGCCAAAACAATATTTTGCTAAATAACCTCTTAGGTCTACTGGAAGTTACTTTTGATCTTCACTGCAGGATAAGTTTGTACTTGCCAGCAAAAATATAATGTGCAGTAACTTGACAGGCCTAACAGAACTATCTGGAAAAAGACTGACAAGATTTTCCTGTTTTCTGTTTATTGGAGTGAAACTTTCTTTTCACTATTTACTCAGGCTTCCTACCTGTGAAATACAACACTCCGTCCACCCAGGGTCCTCTCTACAGCACGAGCCAAATTGGCCAGAAGGGAGTGCTTTTACTGAAAGCCAAGCCACACCAAATGGTCTTATGAGCTTAAATCAGTGTGTGTGTGTGTGTGTGTGTGTGTGTGTGTGTGTGTGTGTGTGTGTGTGTGTGTATCAGTGCTTATTCTACACTCGATTTGGACCACAATGCTGGATCAGTTACTATAGTTGCCAGAAGCAGTAACTCACAAGGCCATGAGAGATTTAAAGCCTCCCTATGTGAAAGATTTGTCTTTCATTTGTCAATTTTTTATATGAACAAAATACCATATAACAGATTAATTAAAAAGTTTCAACAGAGCATAAAATTACTTCACAAAGAAGCTTTTTAAAGAGTTACCTGTTGTTTTTGTGGCTAAGCTCTAATAGTTGAACTCTTTATGACTTTGCTGCAGATGTAGAGTTGTATTCAGGGTGTGGTCAGTACAACATTACGTCATCGCTTGGTGTGTTATAGGGGGTTACAGGAGGTCACATCTATAAAAAGTTACAAAACTGTCTCAAAGTGAGCAAGTGTGTCTGTACCTGGCACCCTAATCTGGATGTTATCTGATTGATGAAGTATTCTGATAATACACAATAATTCCTCAATTATGAGATAAAGATACAATCTCTTATATTGCCATTTTTGTCTTTTTGGCGGCATTATGTTGGTAAGTGCAGCTGTGTTGTTGGATCTCACCTCACAGATATCACCGCATTTTCCCAAAAATACAGCCACAGAAAGCCTCTTCAATACAAGGGCTTTCATCAGCACAATCTCCATTGTGAAGATTGTGACTTAAAATGCTTTATAAGGCTTAACAACAACAACCATTGAGGTTATCACATTTAAGTGATTGCACATGTGTTCTCAGTATGCATTCTTGTAAGGACATTCATTCTCATAAACTAGCCTGAAATACACAAATGTTATTGTTCCTAACTCAGGGGAAATGATTGTTTTGCATATTTCTTTGCATAAACTACCTCATCTTTTGGAAAGTACATGCACAAGGGCTCTGAAGAGTCATTGAGGAACATGTAGAAATCACTCGAGAAATCAGATGACAGGATGTGATATATGTGTCATACATTCCTAAATGACTGAAACAACAGTGCTGAGTCTGCTGGTTTCCCCAAATCTGCATTTGATGCCTTAAATCTAGTTTCTTTTGACTGTTTGACCACACATGAACACATTACATGACACTTTCACAATGAGTCAATATCTTTTTAGTGTGTTTTAGATACAACCTTGGAGGTAAAAACACACGTTGACCTCTTTTTTGAGAGTTGATGGGAGTTTAGATAAGGCTGCATTCTGGCTCAATGAGAACACACTGCATGTCTTCAGTTTACACCCACATATGTTTGAGGCATGTTATGTATGTTTGTCAGCGAGCAGAAGTGTAGCTTTACAGTCTTTTTTTAGGCTCCGGATATTAAGTTTGAGTCAGACTGACTGTCGGGGAAAAAAAGCCAAAAGCTAAGTTTTGTCGTCTCCACCCATACCCTGATTTCCTACAGCGCCGCATTCTTCAAATAAACTACAATACTTCACAAAACTACGCCACATTAGTCACCTTTCGAAACATTATGTAGTCTTCACACAGACACAGTTCAGGTATTCGAGCCTCTGGGTGAAGTGATATTGGCCGCTGCAAACATCTCACATCGGCATTGCAGAATAGTGCAATAAGCGTGCCCTTAAAGGCCCTAAATATACTTACTTTCAGATCAAACTCCGCCGCGACGCAGCACACACAGCTACTCCACAAGGCAGGACAAAAAGTAACAATTACATCCAGGATAAAAGTAACATTTCATCGTGTTTTCTTGCCAGAGTTTGACAGTATTCCCCGTAGGTGATGCACACGTTTAGTCCCTCCCATATCGTGTCCAGTGGGACAGTACGGAGGAAAAAGAGGAAATGTCCTTAAAATGTGGCTGTGTGGTCACGAGGACAGGTGAACGAGTGCTTTTATCTGCAATCTGAATTAAAACAAAAATACATGTGTTGTATGGTTAAAAAAACGAAAAAGGGTGTTTTTTTAATTTTATTTGTGAAGATAAACATGCATTAATAAGTGGACTGTTTATATTATAGGGTCAGAGATGCTAGGAGACAAAACATGGTATTTAATGGGCAAACATTTCCCGACTGTGCCATCATGAAACACACCGAGAGGAATGCATGTAAATGGATGGAGAGAAGGGGGCTGTGGTGAAGTCACGTAGCGTATGACGAACTTCCGGTCTCTGATACTGTTTTTTTTTTAAAGACTCACATCTGTGTTTTTGGAAGTATTTGTTTGGTAAAAGGTCGTCTTTTATATCTTTAGCAACATTTTTCAAATAAAAGAAAACAAACAAAACGACAGAACTGTCGAGAGTTGTTTTACTTTGTAACCGGAAGTATAGGCCACATGCAACTCTGGATGAGCTACTACTGCTCTGAAACAAGTCATGAAATGGTCAAGAAACCTCTACTTTGAGAGGTGGAAGTACTCAGATCTTGTAAAAGTACCAGAGTGTAGGAATACTCTGTTACAGTAAAAGTCCTACATTCAAAATGTTACTCAAGTAAAAACAGAAAAGTATTAGCATCAAAATATAGTTAAAGTATCAAAAGTAAAAGTAGTCATTGTGCAGATTGGTCCATTTCAGAATAATATATGATATGTTTTCTAATGATTGATCATTAAAGTGTTCTCAAAGCTGGTAAAGGTGCAGCTAGTTTGAATGACTTTGTATACGTGCAGGGTAGCTTGTGAATTTACTCCAGGTGGAACTAAAGTCTGATTTAAGGCTTGATTATAGTTCACATCATTCATCCAAATCTGTAAAGTAACTAAAGGTATTAAATAAATTTAGTGGAGTAATAGTACACAAAATTGTACTTGAGTGCAGTACTTGACTAAATGTTCTTAGTTACTTTACACCAATGATGTTTCCAGTGTTCCAGCAATAAAAACATCAGCATATGAGTGAATACTTGCAATTAAAAACTGAACAATTTAGTGAGTATGTGACTCTTAGATAATTTACAATTCAAACTGTGATCAACCTGTCTTGGGTGGCGCAGTTACCATGACTGGGTGTAGTACATTTTCACTCCACATGGAGGTGTTCAACCACCAACAAAAGTCTAATTAGAGATTCAAAGTTATTTCCGAGCAATATCTGCATACTGATAAGAAGAAGAAACCAAAACAAGATTTAATGTTAGTCAACCATATGATGGCTTCAATTGATACAAGATAAAAATAGTATTAAATAATGACAAATCTAACATTATTCAATGATTATAGGCCTTTGTTTTTCACATAAGCATTATGCATTTCTCCAAATATCTCTCTCAAACACACACAACTGGTAGCTGAATTATAATTGATAATAAAGAGAACAGACATGATGATCTTGAAAAGATTAGAGTCACTTACAAATTATCTGTTTTTCATTTGCTAATTGGTTATTTGCACTTCCTGATATGTTTGAATTTTTGGGGCGTTTTACAATATATTTACATTTTCAGGTACGATGTATACCATTTGAAAACCACTGAAGAACAGCAAGAAAAAACAGAGAGTATGTTGAAGATGAATACATTTTCCTAATTGTGTTTCCACATAACTCGCATATTAAATAAATTGATTGAGCAAAGCACAAAATAATGAATTTATTTTAAAAACATGGCACAATGAATCAAGACAATGTCCCAGTTACATGTGCAGGTTTTCCACGTAAGTAAGACTACACGCAGGGAAACTTATACAGACTTTGTCAGATTATGTAATACATGGATGACTATTATAACGCCCTTGAGAGATGGACAAATGTTTCACATCAAATCAGCTAAGAAACCTTGTTTATTGTTATTTTAAAACCCAGTTCTACACAGCTGTATGGCTCCATGTAATGCAATAATGCCTTTGCATCAAGATAAATAAAATTTCTCAGCATGGCGGTGAATCACCTTCATGATTACCCTTCAAATACTCCAAACACTCATACTGTTTATACAACAAACCACATAATAGGAATACTTGATAATTATGATTTAAAACATCACTTTTAAATTAGACCTGATCCACTCATTTAATGTATACATCCAACAAACGTACGCTAAGATGAACAGCTAAGTTGTAAGTTTGAATGAAAATCGCTCCGCTGCCTGACTAATCCTAGAACATAAACACAGAGACTGTTGTCAAGTCTTCGGTTATTAAAGCTCGAACTAACTCAACCCTGAATCTGAGCCCGCGACTCAATAAGAAACATCCCTCATCCTTACTGACAGCATGAGGCCCCTTGGAAAGGTTTCATCAGAGCAAAAACGTTTTCTTGTTTACATTTTTTAAGTTGGTAGATATTTTCTGGTCGAACCAGGAAAAGGAAATTCAGGAGCACGGTTGAAGTGCCCTGTTAAGAAGATGGCCACCGTGCCGAGGATGAAAAGAGAGATGGCGACCCAGAAACAAACCTTGTCGATCATCTTTCCAATCAGCACCCAGCTTTCTATTTCCTGAAATTGGAAATGAAGCGAATATAAGATAAGACACACCTTTATTGATCCCTATAGGGAAAACTTGCAGCAACAGAACTGTTACAGGATGTGTATTTTGTAATTTTGTATGCATGCTTCTTAGGTAAGCTGTCTTCGGCTCTTTTCTGCTGTAACAATATACATGTCCCCTCTGATTCTGATTCTGATATAAACACAGGACAGTTTAACAACAAGTAACTTAGTTGTTAAAAAGTAATAGTATTATAAACTGTATATCTACTGTATTTATTATCTGGCCTATTCTGCCTCCTTGTTCTTTATGATATCACATAATATGTACATATGCTGCATGTGTGTTCAAATGTTTTCTGTTCAACTTGTGAAGTTTGCCATGTTGTTAAATGCTGTGAAAAATGCTCTACAAATAAAGCTTTTAGTGTTTTTAAATAACATAGCTTAAACAAATTGATAGGAAATCCTGTAATCTATGTACATCCCAAAAAGTAAGGCTAGTTTATTTAAAAACACTCCTTTAAAAGCAAAGATAATAGGCAGACCAAGTTTGAAGTCACTTACAGATCCGATGTTATTTTGCTGCTTCGTGCTCTCGGCTATGAAGTTGCAGGCGTCGACACATTGCTTGATTTCGGGTGCAGTCTGCGCCAAACTCTTGTACAGGTTGGCTGTGCTGCTGATATCCAAATGATCCACTAGGGGGAAGGAGACACTGACAGTCACACAGCAGTATGATACAGCATTCCCAAACACAGGCATCTTTGATCTAAAACATAAAGGTGTTAAATGACAAACATTATGCGTGTTAAACACAAATAAGTGACTAATATAAGGGAGTAATTGGGATTTGATTCACAGAGAAAACATTGGTTTTAAGCTATTTAAAGTGGACCTATCATGCTATATTTGAATAATATAGTGTAGGACCATACCTATATAAGGCATATTTATACTTTTTATTTTTCAAAATACCAAACAGATCATGCATTTTAGCCATTCCTCATTTCCCTCAATTTAACACTGCCTTTCATGCTCGGATTCAGTGAGAACAGCACCATCTGGTGGCCTGAAATATGTACTACAGCGTCTTTTCGAACGGCAATGTCCGTGGCTGTCTCCTCCTGATTGGTGGAGTTGGCCCAATAGTCGTAGCGCCACTTCTGTGACGACATAAAAGTGTTCAAATCTGGATCAGTCTGTATCAGATCCGTTGCAGCCCCTTTTTAGAGATTTGGGTATGGAGGAAAATAGAGAGGGTTGTGTTTTCTGACACTTGGTGAGTTCCCTGGAACACCGGGGACACATATTCATGTAGAAAAGACGTACAAAAGTGCATTTTGCATGATAGGTCACCTTTAAACAAAAACATTGATCGGTCAGTCAGTGGGACCATTTGTATACACTTACACTCATATACTGTATATCCACCTATACCCATGATAGCATATATAGATTTACACCTACTCATATGCGCATATATACATACGTGCATGTGCAGACATTCAGTAAGCAGGTAAGCGGACCTGGCCCGAAAAAAGGAGCATTGAAGTTGTATTTTTGTTTTTGCAATATTCAATCTAGGTTCTCCATTTATTAACAGCTTTTGGATTCTAATTTGATCTATTTTCCTTTATTATCCTAGTGTACACTTGATCGATCTGATCCAACTATTCTGTTATAGTTTTTAAAGAGGCCCCTTGGCTAGCACTTCAACACATTGTAGATATGTGACATCTCTAAGCGGTTGACTGTTGTTAGACTTTTACCCAAAGCGACTTACATGCACTTAATACTATTGGCAATCCCCACAGGAGCAATTTGGGGTGAATTGTCTTGCCCAAGGACACAATGACATGCTCATCAGAAGGTTAAAAGAGGTGCTGCAGCACAGTATGAGAAAAATAAAGACCTTTCTTAACATTAAAGCAAGTCAACATTTCACAGGAGAGGCACAACATACAAATATGAACCTGGAAATTAGCATAATATGTCTTCTTAAAGAATAGATTTCTTACAAACTGATTGTGAGAGCCCATGCTTCTGTCTCTGTCTGTCAAACATCATCTCGCTCCGGGGTTGTTTCATCACATATTCCTCTGCTCTCTGCATGAGGCCGAAGGAGCTGCGGCGCCGCTCCGTCACGCCGTTCACAACGACCTCCTCGCTGTCGTCCACCAGCGGGGGCATGCCCAGGAAACGAGGTAACCATTTCAGGAATAGCTTCAGGAGCAAGATGTTAAACATCATCAGAGATGGGGAAAGTACACACATCCTTTACTCAAGTTACGTAGAAGTACAGATACTCGTGTTTAAGAATACTCTGGTGAAAGTAGAAGTACTGACTAAACTTCTTTACTCAAGTAAAAGTAAAGAGGCTTTGAAATGTACTTCAGTAAAAAGTACCCATAACTAGCAGCTGTTTTAAAGAGTACCTGACCTCCCTTTATATTAATAGAACAATAATGTCATTGTTAGCTAATGAATGTTTCCATGCTGAACAATGGCAACATGACAACGTTTTCATTGGTCCCTCTTCTTTAGAGAAGAAAAATGTGAGAAGTAGAAAGTACAGGTATTTGTGTTCAACATGTAAGAAGTAGAAAGTACAGGTATTTGTGTTCAACATGTAAGAAGTCAAAGTAAAAAGTCGTCAGAAAAACAAGTAGTGGAGTAAAGTACTGATACCAGAAAAATGTACTTAAGTACAGTAACAAAGTATTTGTACTCCACTACTTCCCACCTCTGAACATCATAGTTCACACACTATAAATCTTGAACAGACATTTGATACCCAACTGCTAGGGTTGGGAGGGTTACTTTAAAATGTATTTTGTTACATATAGTTACCTATAGTATAGTACTATATAGTATAGTAAGTATATAGTTACAAATGTAATCACTAACCTATTCTAAGTATCAAAATATAAAAGTAATGATTACTTTCTGTTAGTTTTTGGAATACATCAATAACAAATTTAGGTTGATCTACTGCAGGGGTGTCAAACTCAATGTAATCGCGGGCCACATCAGCATTATGGTTGCACTCAAAAAGCCGGTTGGAACTTTAAGACTATATAAATATACATATATAAATATCTAATATATATTAAATAATGTATTATATTACATTGTTGCCTCTGCATTGGATTATTATTGGATAGGGCAATAACTTCATAATTAACTACGTCTGAAAGCAGAAGTCTAGGGAAAATAATTGCAAGTCTCTTCAGTGCGCATGTCACAAAATGAGATGCATTGTGGGAGATATAGTTTATGGGCAACGTCCTTCTGTAAAGCGGCATGTTTATAATATAATAAACGCATTATATTCTTTGCAAGCTCTTGCGGGCCACTTAAAATGAAGTCGCGGGCCAAATGGCCTTGAGTTGTACACCCCTGACATACTGAATTAAAAACAAAACAAATGAACCAAAGAAAGTGAAAGCCATTAAGCAGATTCAGGCAGTAGTCGATTAGATTCACACTTAAATCCCCAATTCTTAGAAATGTACCAGTAATCTTATTAAGTATTTTACTCTCCATACCTGTCAACTGCACACAATGTACTCACAATTTTGATCCAACGGGGCATGTTGTGAGTGCTGGGGGTGCGCAGCGAGATGTTCAGCACCACAATCTGGTTTGTGGCGATGAGCGTAGTGACGGACATGACAAAGATCAGGTACCTGAGGAAGACAAAGAATAGACCTGTGTTGGAAACAGTGTGTGATAAAAGGAGGAAACATCCAGCAGGGGTCGGCAGAGAACACACTGACTCACTTGCCAATGAGAGGCACAGAGAGAGAGGTCTCAGGGATCTTCTGAGCGATGAGGAAGAGGAAGACAGTCTGAGCGAGCAGGACGGAGATTGCCACCGTCAACTTCTGTCCACCGGCTGTGAAGGAGAAAAACAATTACTGTACTTAAAGGTCACCTATTATGCAACATCCCCTTTTTCATGTCTTTTATACATAAATGTGTGTCCCCGGTGTGTCAGGGAACTCACAAAGTGTCAGAAAATAAAACCCTCTCTCTTTTCCTCCGTACCCAAATCTCTAAAAACGGGGGTTCAACGGAGCCGACCCAGATTTGCTGCCGATATGACGTAATATCAGAAATGTAGGCTGGCTTTACGCCCACGGCCCTATCAGAAAGTTTCTATCAGAAACAAGGCGCGACATGTTTTGGACGTAATATGGTCTTTGTTTACATTAGCATCATCGCTAACACTCAGAGCTAACCTGTACTGGAGAGAGTATGTGTAAAAAAACAGGAAATAAAAATGTAGCTGTATCTGCGGTAGAATTCTGAGCAGGCACAAGCTCCCCCTCCTCTCTTTTTTTTTTTTTTCAAGCTAAGGACCCCGAACCTGCAGTTCTCTAATGGCGCGTTTCCATTGCAGGGCTTCGCTCGGCTTAGTACGGTATAGTTAGGCCTTGTAGGCCAGGCTCACTTTATGCTGCGTTTCCATTAAGCCCCTGTCACACTGTCCCGAAATTGACACCCGATGGACACACGAATATGGAATTGTGAATTTTGCACGAAGATGGCCCCGAACCACACACGAAGGCAACATTTACATTACATTTAAGACATACAACTGCAACGAAAGTAACACAAACAATTATGTTAAAGTATTATGATACTGTACTGATATTTTCCGACTTTTTTCTTTACTTTCTCCGTCTTTATATGTAGAAGATATTAAGTTTTCTCCGTCATGTTGTTTCCATAGCAACAACAACTTCCTCGCCTTCANATCTCTCCTGATTTTTTGGTCACTTGAACCACTTTCCTGAATTTTACGTCAGGGTGTAAATAAAGTCTGCTTTAAGGGTTGTTTATATTGTCAGATCATAATAAGAATCTGCAAAGTAACTAAAATAAATGTAGTGGAGTAAAAATACCAGGTTAATTTCTGATTGTAGTGGGAGTAGAATTACAAAGTAACAAAGAGCTGTCATGTGAGGTTCTAATTAATGCTTGCTATTATGGATATAGAGCGAGTTTTCACCCATTTAGCACATTCATGTTTTAACATTCTGTACAAACATGTGTTTCTATCGCATAAAACCTCCAGGGCGGCTGTACACAGTTTAATACTGTCAACCTCTAATTTTGGAAAAAACGAAAACGTCTTTTAAAACTACAATTCCCAGAGACGTGCCATAGAGAACATGATGCGAAACACAATAGCCAGCATGTGTAGTTCTGGGGGGGCGTTCGAGTCCAGTTTTGAATAGTCTGCCGTGGTTTCGTTCCATTTCAAAGAGCTTGACGCTCGGCGTAACCTTGGCGCACTGCCACTCCAACATCCAATCCCAGAGCTTGAAGATTAATCACGGGGTTTGTCAACGGGACTGTAGTCCCAAGCGATAGCTAGGGATTATGGGTATTGTAGTGTCTTCGGCCATCCTAAACTCTGAATTTTTTTTCGGATATCATATCGCATTAGCACCATATCCCAACGTGCATTGCGGCTAAAACATCCAATCAGCGAACATGAAAACATTCCCAGTTAAACATGCAAAAACAAATCGCTAAATAAAAAGATAAAACACTGGCATGTAATTTTCGTTAGAATAAATGGAATGGTTTTGAATAATAGATGAGAGTAAAATCTAAATCACTTTACAGCCCTGCCCACTTTTGGGGAAACCAACGCTGTCATTTGAACGGCGATCAAGCCTGTGACGAAGGTAACTTCGTCACTGTGGACTGACAGCTTCGAGCCTTGTAATATTGCACATGTGGTTTAGTTTGAAAGTGTTCACCCTCCCGTTTTGTCTGTGGCTGGTGATTGTGTTCACCTGGTGCCCTGTGTTGCCCCCCCCCCCACACACCTGTGTCTTATTGGCCTGATTAGTGTGTGTGTGTATTTAGGCTCTGTTTTCCCTGTTAGTGTCAGTGTTGGACCTTGTGGCTGGTGACTGTGTTCACGGGTAACAGTCATATTGAGGCTGTGAATCATGTGCCCATGATTTAATAAATTCCCACACCGGGTTATATTTGAACTCTCTGCCTCTGCCTCCTTGCTTGGTCGGGCCGCTTAACGGTCAGCTTCACAAAGCCTGAAGCCACAGAGCTCTTCTTTTACTGCCCTTTCTTCTTAGAGGAAGTACAGAAACACGTAACTCTGGATTTGTTTTAATGTTTGAGGTGCAATAAACGACACAGCAGCTTTTTGGCATGTTAAAACTATTATTTTCTGCCTCACTCATGAGAGTAACAGCTGACGAAATTACAGCCTCGCCTACTGATTTGAATGTAACCATATATCGAGCCCGATTCTCGATTTCAAATGTGTGCTCTAAAATGATATTTATAAATGACTATTATCATTATTATAAGCAAGACAATAAATGGTACTTTTCTCACATATGCAGTGTTTGTAAACAGACTTTGATGAGTCAAATCATTGGACTTCCCCTTTAAGGCATCAGTTAACACCGTTAACACTGGCTGCCTCCTCTGCAGTTCATAGCATTTCATTAGCCTGCCCTTCCCCGCTGCATTCACTATGTAGGTTCTGAGTTTTCACTTTACACTCCCTGCTGGGCTGAGCTTAGTGCTTCCTCATGGGGAGGGACGAGCTCAGAGCTTTAACATCCAATTTCTACCTATTTTAACCTCACATAATATTCAAATATAATGCTTATACAACATGGATTAACTCCCATTCATGCAAGTTGGTATGATGTTGCATTTGCACTCATTTTGCTGAAAGCACACATTCATCCTTGGTTACAAAGTCATAAAGCAGCCCGAACAATGCATGTTTGCTGGAACTCAAAGCCAGAGAGCCATATGTGAACAAAGCATGTCCGATGTTATTGGTCACCTGGTGAGGTGTTTGGATGTGGTGTTGTGTCGCTGAACCTTGTGGTATCCTTCACGTCTGTTACACAAAAGAAACTGGGCTCAAAGAAAGCACTTAGAGAACGCCTGAGAATGTGTGTTGTCTCTGCTAAATGAATAAAAGCATCACATTACCATAAGCTTATCCTAACGCTGCACATTTGTCATCTTGAAAATGTAGATGGCAAAGGGAAAGTAAAAACTATCTATTCAGCTGACAAGGGAATGAATTGCTTTGGAACTCTGCCACGGAAAACAGAGATGCCTTCATAGCCTACTTTAAAGGATTTTCAATACAGAGGATTACAGTGCACAAATTAAGAGAGCAATTTATCTTATTATTCTATTTGAAAAAGCATGGGCTATAGCTACATAATCTTCTCGGGATGATGTTTTTTCAATCAAAGTTGTTCAAAATGGCTTACATACAATGACATTTTGTATAAATACTAGGGCTGCACGATATTGGAAAAAACTGACATTGCGATTTTTTTCCCCCCTGCGATACATATTGCGATATGAAAACATACAGGAATTGAAGAAAAGACCATTTTTGTTTCCGCAAACCATCCTTTCTTGAACTTTAATGCTATACAATTGGTATTTTAATTATTTAACCCGGATGGAGAGAGGCGAGTTGTATATTTAACCGGATGAAGGATTTTAGTCACGGACGTCTGGATCTTAAGTTATCAGACCAACAAGCTGAGCTAGTTCGGTTAGAAGCGCCGAACTGCCCTGGAGAAACACATGAAACTACTTTATTCACTGTTTTTACCTTTAATCACCGGGTCCGTTTGCTTTGGAGATTTGATTGTGATTGGTGGTTTGCTGTCACTCACTCAAGTATCCCTGACATGAGAGTTATCCTTTTGTAGCAAGCAGCAAAATAATTGTAACATTACGTGTTTGAGTTAATTTGCCTACTTAATATCGCAAGTCTAACAATTATTTTTTTAAATAATTAAATAAAATAAAAAATTGTTTTTAAAAGATTGCACGTCCACGCGATGTGAATATCGCGCATGCGCATATCGCGATTATCGTCACGACACGATATATCGTGCAGCCCTAATACATACCATTATTTAGTTGTGATTGACATGTGTCAGTGTTAGGGTTTGTGAGTTTTCTCAAGCCACCAGCACCTTTATTGAAGAGACAGAGTTGAAAGTTGGAGACAAAGTGTATGATATGCGTTAAATGGTGCCAGGACGGATTCGAACCCAAGTCCTACGCACAGGTTAATGTTAGGGTTGGGCAGCTGTTTAAGTTCTGTGTTAAATAACCAAAATTCTCTGTTTCCATTGTGGGTAAGTATTGAAATACAAAATGGTGTTTAATATAACACATTTAATTTTGCGAGACACTAAACTTTTTAAAATAGGTTGTATTTATTGCAGTTATTTCTTCCATTACATTGCATCACAGGTATTTGTTTTTTGTGTCGCAGAAAGATCTTCACCACATGCTGTAGAGTAGACCTTTAATTATTAAGAGTATATCTGGAAACACTTTTTTCCGATAAGAGAGTTGCATTGGATCATAATTCTAACTTTAAAAACCCTAATTAATTGTCAAGTAATTACTCAGAGGTTACACATTACCACACGCAACTTTGGAATAGAAATAATAATCTTTATTTTATCTTACATCTGGATCTTTCCAGAATTTGAATGTCTTCGATAGTACAGACCTGTCTCCAAAGTCAGTGACAGTAAGACATTTGTGAAAACAGCATGTCTGCTCATAGAGGCAGCAGCAGAATGAAGCCCAGACTGTACGTCCCGGCCAAACCAAACACAGGCAGATTCTCCTCAAGTCTGCCTCAGAATCCTTTATAATCACTTTAAAGTCACCACGGGAAAACCTCCAAGAATACCACCATCACTAACATGCTTATTGAAGAGATCAAATCCCATACTGTTCTGATGTAAAATGTCAAAGAGCTGCTGGTTGTTGGATTTTGTTCAAATCTTTTGAATAGCAAATGTTGTTTAATCTATTAATATATAATGGTGTTATTTAAAGTGGACCTATCATGCTATATTTGAATAATATATTGTAGGACCATACCTATATAAGGTATATTTATATTTTTTATTTTTCAAAATACCAAACAGATCATGCATTTTATCCATTCCTCATTTCACTCAATTTAACACTGCCTTTCATGCTCGGATTCAGTGAGAGACTGCCAAGGCACCATCTGGTGGCCTAAAATATGTACTACAGCGTCTCCAGCGCTTTCGAACGGCAATGTCCGTGGCTGTCTCCTCCTGATTGGTGGAGTTGGCCCAATAGCCGTAGCGCCACCGTCCTGACGTCAGAAAATTGTTCAAATCTGGATCAGTATGTATCAGATCCGTTGCAGCCCCTTTTAAAAAGATTTGGGTATGGAGGAAAATAGAGAGGGTTGTGTTTTCTGACTCTGGGTGAGTTCCCTGGAACACCGGGGACACATATTCATGTATAAAAGACGTACAAAGGTGCACTTTGCATGATAGGTCCCCTATATGCCGACTTTGATAATGTAGCTGATAAGACGCAAGAGGGATCCATTTTAAACCGTCACTTCCCGTAAATCTATTTACACGAAATAGAGAGAAATGTTATACTTCGTTCAGGTGTCAGTCGTCAGCTGAGCTGTTAATAGTAGTTGGTGCCCATACTTGGTGTTCGACATAGTAAATGTCTAAATCGTGACTTGACTCGAACACACACATGTTTACCCGACACACAATCAACTCTATTATTTAAACATTGGCAAG